TTTGAATGTCTCGTCTTTTAACGAATATTCAAGCCCTCTTTTCGCTACTAAGAACAACTTTCATAGCTCTTTCAGTATTTGCCATTGAATATAATTTAATAGTAGTACGATTTAAACCACCTTTAAACGTATAAAAAACCATTTTGTATACTATATTCTGATGAGAATCTTTGTTTAAAACAATATCGATTGTGAGCGTGTGCCCGCGCGAATTTAGTAAGCGGAATAAACAAAAGCAATAAAAGCGCATGCGCCATTTATCTCATTTTGGATAAAAAAAATTCGATTTCCCCAGAGTCATGCCACAACCTAACCCGCGAACAGGCATACTCTGGGAACGAGATTGGCAATTAGTTTGAAAATAATTTTTATTCGTTTTTAAATATTTTCTGTGACACGTGACAAGCTACAGTATATAGTAATCGTAAAGTAATAGCGCGGGTTAGCAGTAAAATACAGGCTTTCAAATCACGAAGTGGTGTTCTTAAGCCAGTTTTCTACTAGGCGGAATTCAGTGTTCACGCGAAGCGACTTTTCTCTTTGTCGGCATCGCTTTGCCCACGTGATAAGCGATACTGACAAAGGAAATACTCCAAAAGGCAAAACTGCTTTATAATCAGAAATCATGTTATTACTTATAATCATAAATCTTAATGTTTTTATGCATCAAATATATGCTAAACTGCATAAACCAAATAAGTTTCCGAAACTCAACGAGCAAAGCGAGGTTGAGCTCCAGTGCATTTTTTAAGGATTCTTCGGTGATGGGGCAAAAGTACCAAAGGGCCCATTTTCCTTGCCCTCCCCCAGCATAGTATGCGATCGCCGAAGGTGTGAGCAGATTACCGCAGGGGTTGAAGCTGGGGGCATGTCGGCCCTCCCAGGAAATTTTTAAAATTTGGATCTCTGAAATAGCATTTCCTGCATTCTGAGAACACATTTAAAAAATCTCAGCTTCTCAAAACAGTTTTAATGGTGAAATTTGTAATAAATTGCATGCTAAACATTCAAACATAACATAAGTTTATGTATGCTCACCAACAAATTTTGTTTTTTAAACTTCTTTTCAATGTTACAACACAGGTCCTAGCAGGGCCTTTTTATGGATTTTCCCGTGGGGGCATTTTATGTAGTTTTTCAGTCGTACTTTTCTGCCAAAGTATATTATCAGGATAGAAAAAGAAATTGGCAGAATTAAATTGCATTTCAGCGTTAGAGTTCAACAAATTATTAAAATACCTGTGGCCTTGCTGTCCGGGGCCGCTGTGTTGCAGTCTTGCACAGACCAGATGTTCAAATAAAAAGACAACAGAATCTCTTATATAGAAAGTAAGTAAAAATTATGAATTATGAATCTATAAGTGGTTTAAACTGATATATGCAGTACATCTTGCCGCTTCTTTAGTAGTCGATTCCATGCATTAGAGTTCGTTAACAATTTAAAGTAATATATACTGACGTGTATCTAGCCGTTAACGGTCGAGGAAATTTTGTTTGTTGATAAAAAAAGTCTAGCGTTCATATCAAGTCGTCTGCCTTTGTTGAAAATATAGAGTAGTGCAATTCTAAATCTTCGCATACGGAAGAAGTAGACAAAAGGATTAATGCATGCGTTAATATAGATAAATGAAAATAATTTCCTCCATGTCATGAAGTCTGAAATGGACATCATCTGAAGTACAGCATAGGGTAAATACGTGGCGTAAAATAAGCAGACAACAATGAATGTATTTAACGCAGATTTAAAAAAAACACTTTCCACCTTTTCTCGTTTTGAGGTAATCTGTAATGAATTTGAATTGTTCATATTGCGCCCAGCATGTGCTGATAACTGATTTTTGACGGCTTTGAAAACCACTGTATACAGAGAAGCAACAAAAAGCATCTTTACTAAAACAAGAGCGCTGAGGGATTTATCCAGTACATGATGGTGTTCACGCGCAGATAAGAAATCGAAGAAATGGGCGATGACCAATGCTATTGCCACAAGCCAAGATCCAGTAATCATCAGCAATGTCTTTGACCTAGTTATAAACGTTGCATATCTCAACGGATAGACCACTGCGACAAACTTATCCACAGCAACGGTCAATACTGCCGTGCCACTTAAAAACAAACAGAACGTATTTAGAGACGTGTAATACTCAGAGTATTCGCCTCTTCCCAAATTTGTAAGATAAATATTCCAAGGTAGAAACGTTGTCAACGATATAAAATCAGCTAAGGCCACATGTAGAATTAGTAAATCTGAATTTTTACGACGTAACTCGCGTCTTGTTACGAATAAAATGATGACAAAAAAGTTCGCCGTTGAACCAACAATGACTTGCACTGAAGCAAAGGATATAAGAAGATTTACCTCCATATCGTTCATCAATTTTGATGTAAGATTGCTCATTCTTACACGGAGTGAAACAAACTACATTAAAATTTGTATTGATTAATTTTTAAAATTAAATTTAATCATACACATTTCCATTCCTGACATATATGCGTATGAGAAGTCGTGAATTTACATAATTCATAAAACGTAGAAATTTGAGCCAGTCTGAATTTATAAAAGAGGCTGATTCGTGAATCTTGTTTGCTCATATGGCATACTGTACTTTCATGCTTAATCAAATATACATGAATCTGTGCCAAAGACAAAGAAAACTGTCATTGGATGACATAGTTTGTTCAAAAATTACAACATGTAAGGAAATTATAGCCGACGTCATATTCTATCTAGCTTGGTAATAAAATGAGGATGAAAAGCGAAGTTGTGATAATGTATATTATCAAATACTTAATTGCGGGCGCGTGGGAAACAAGATCTTTGAACAGCCTATTATTAAGGAAATATAACTAGCATGATGCTCATTCGGTGTCGCCGTTTTAAAGAAGGACCGTTTACGCGGGCGATTTTTGCTGCGATTTTAGGCGCGATTTTCTCCTTTTGGAGGATGTGAAGGAGTGGATGAGTTACAAAATGTTCCAGGTTATGAAATCGCATAATAACATCATTAAGTAATCCACTCCTTCACATCTTCCAAAAGGAGAAAATTGCAACTAAAATCGCAGCAAAAATCGCCCGTGTAAACGGGCCTTATAAGTAGCAATTAACAGGTCGATCCGTAAAAATGTTTGCAGCCCAATTCACATGTTCATGACTTCGTGTAACCCAGATGTTTGCATCATAATGTGTGAACATTGAGTCGAACAAAAGGAGCCAAACATTTACATTTTGTGCACAACACTGATGCGATGCCAAATATTTCATTGGTCTGGCATACTGCGAACGTTCATACAGCTAAGTAGTAATTCTGAAACAATCGCTTACAACTTTCCACACTTTTCCTTCAGCAGTAAGGACAAAGTTCTGAGAAAAAATCTTAGGTTTGTTATCTTCGTACTCAACAGTGCCACCAACAAATACAGCAATAGTTGTGCTTCCTGGAACTGCTCGCTCTGAAAAGCATGGAAATGTTTGATTTAGTCTTTCAGTATTCTGCAACTTAATACTTAATTAAAAGAGCAAATAATTCATTATAACGTTTATTTGTGAAACATTACGCTCATATTAAAAGAACCGATGAAATGCTTGAATTTAGACCGAAAACTGACTTTCGTCTCACCTCACAAAAACACAAATTTAGTTAGCACCTCTTTTCATGTACCCATAGATATCCATGCATGCATGTACGCTGGTTTATTTTCATAGCACATGATATTATATATATATATATTATATATATATATATATTATATATATATATATATTATATATATATATATATTATATATATATATATATTATATATATATATATATATATATATATATATATATATATATATATATATATATATATATATATATATATATATATATATATATATATATATATATATATCCGGGTGGCCCAAAAAAAAGTACTCCTGTTTGATTCGTAATAACTTCTAAACAAGTAAAGTTTTTAAAGAGAAATAACTTGCATTAAATAGAGGAAGGACTAACTTAGATTTTGATATATTACAGTTGTATTTAACTTAAAAATTCACGGAGATATTAATGTTAAAAATGGGGAGCATATTTTGGAATGTGTCTAAAATTAGCGAAAATCGGCATATCAAATATTAACTCCAGCGTTTGTTTGCTTAATGACATATTAGGCTAACTTGTATTTCAGCGAATTATCGTTAAGGTTTGTAAGGGATATGGCGTAGATTTAGACATCTTACATGTAAGTCTTAGCTCATTGTTTCCTGAAATATGAACGTTCGAAATTATGCAAGTATTTAATATTAGGTCTTTGCAAACTTAAATGTACATGAAAGACTGACCATGGAAGGCAGGCGCTTAAATTTTTCGTATTCTTAAATAGCCTAATTTTTTTATGTTTTTAATGGGTTCAAACAGACTGAGTAGATTATTTCTCGGTTAGAGCAGGATGAATATTCTTTATTGAAGGAAATAATATTGCTTTTTGCAAATACACATCACCGTATCAACGCTACTATTTTGTTACGTTTTGTTCCAAAAATGTTGCATGTCTCTGGGGAGTTGCTTAATTGTTATGTCTTATGGAGTTGTATGGTTTGATTGTGTTTCATATAATTCTCAGTTTACTCCATGAACTTGCCAAGATTAAGAAACGGCAAAAGAGTTTGGGTGTTCTTAACAAGATTTCAGAACGTTGCAGAAGTTAGAAGAGCTTCACAATTCCGTTGTGACAGCATGCCCTAATTCAGAACTACGAACGATCCAATGACGATCCTTCGCGATGCAGTGGTCTCATGAAATAAGGAAACGTATTCGTGCTAGGAACACACGCGAATTTCGGACGAATGAATCTTGCTTGTATTTTGTAGATATAATAATACTTTGTTTCATAATAAACAATTTGTCAAGTGTCATTTATTTACTGGTAATAGTGCATGTTTCAGTCGGGCAAATCTTGATTAATATTTGATACGCCGATTTTTGCATATTTCAGACACATCCAGAAATATCCTCCCGAATTTAAAGATTAATATCTCCGTGAATTTTTAAGTGAAATACAACTGTAATATATCAAAGTCTAAGTTAGTCCTTCCTCTATTTGATGCAAGTTATTTCTCTTTAAAAGCTATACTTGTTTAGATGTTATTACGAATCAAACAGGAGTACTTTTTTTTGGACCACCCGGTATATATATATATATATATATAAGCGCAAAGCATGATGGGAGCACTGATTTCAAGCTTAGTAGTTGATTATTGCACCTGCTTGTCAGTGAAATGTTTTTGCAGGGAAATATTTATCATGTCTCTCAGAAATGGGCTCCATATATGCTTTCTAAACTGCTTAAATCGTGCTATATATATATATATATATATATATATATATATATATATATATATATATATATATATATATATATATATATATATATATATATATTTTGTATATAACAGGGAGTGGCAAATCACTCTCCTGGATTCAGAAAGTAAAATATTCATGCATACATAATGCCTAGTTCTTTTACATGCAAAGCCTGGAATAGAAAGACAAATTTTCCTCCACATTTAATCGAAACGTGACGATTTGTCCTTACTCACCTGTTCTTAGCCTATACAGTACGACATTAACAAAAATTACATGCATACTAACAATAGCTTTCTCATATTAAAGATTTTTTAGTTATTTTGGGACAGTAAAGCACACAAAGAAACAACCTGCAGTGAAAACATATCAATCCCTCACTGAGGTACAGAATGTAAGAAAGCTATATACTGTAGGTAGGTGGTTTGCAGATAGGAAGTACAGTACAGTACAGTAGACTGTAGTTAATATCAAGTATACCTGAAACTGGCTGACAATCCATGGAATAAATGTTATGAACAGTTGTAGGTAGAGAAACAAAAAATTCATTCAATTTATCACTTCCTTTTATATGATGTCCATTCCATACCAAACTGGAAGCATCAGAATACAGTTTTGATACAACCTATAGCATAATTTAAAATAGCTGCATGGCAGTGATTCATTCACAGAGGATAAAGAAACATCTGTGTTGCGAGCTACCTAATTGGTATGCAATGAAAATAAATTAGTAAATTACCACAGCTTTAGTATATATAATTATATCAATGTTTGTCTATGGCTTTTGATCAATTACCTATAGCAGATTTATTTGCTATTATAGCACGTTTGTGACCATGGTAACTGACAGAATTTTGCTGTATAATTATGTACGTATATTAAAAAATACCCTGTGGCTATATGTACAGACTTCCCCAGGGCTCTCTCCTCCACAGAGGCGTTTTTAGTCAAACATACAGGCTTACCCGCGAATTGTAGCCCTGCATGTGTTCACCAATAACCAATTACTGAAAATGCATTACATTTTCAAGGTATATACAGCCCACATTTTAAACTAAAATTGCGAATAAAAACCTCAGCATCCAGAGAAGAGTGTTACCAGGCTATATTTACAGCACACTGTCTCGTATAGTTGGAGTAAGATTTTTAAGTAAACAGCCATTTTGTCAAGGGGAGAGTGCTGCTGCTCAATGGATTAATTTATAGTACAACTCTTAATATATTTTGCATTCCAACTGGCATGAGATAAATCACACTTTTGATAATTGACGTGTGCCAAGGAATGCATGTGTGATTGTGGCCTGTAAGTTGTGATTCAATAAGTTTAAGAAGAAGCATTTGAAAACTGAGCTTGTCTATTTAAAAACTGGTAATTGATTGATTGCATGTAACCTCTCCAACCTGTATTATTTAATAAGGAATTTGTTTTTAGGTGCTTTCTCAACATAGACGAATTTTCAGATTTTGCTCGCTTTTCAAACTTAACTGTAAAATAAAATGCTAATTTACTACTAAGTGTACAATATCATTGGCGCGAGGGTATAATAACATTCACTGAAATATGGTACAAATGGTGCCAAATGGCCAGAAGTCAGTATATCCAGCTGGCTAAATTAATCAAACTGGCAAACTCTATTGTTGTATCAACTTTATTTTATCATACTACACTGTAAAAAGTTATTGATTGGGATTTATGAGGTGTAGATACAGCAGTAATTCACAGACAAATAACCAATTAAAATACTACCCCAAATACTCAGCACGGTAGGCTGATTCAATTGGGGCTATGCTCTGTCTGTCCACCAATCATCCATAATTCAGTGATAAAGTAATTAAAACAAAATAAACAAAACAAAACTCCCCGGTTTCCATGACCATACAAATAACAACTTCGTACTATTTATACTGTACTAGAATATTTTTATCACATATTTTGAAAACGAAATGTAACACTGTGTTACAACACATGCATGGTACTGTATGGAATGAAAATATTATAAATATAACGAGACAAAGTCTGTTTTCGGTCCCCTAAATGTAGCGACAGGGTAAAAACACCTAGATTTTGGGCATCTCGCTTGATGCCTTGATAGAACAACGGCTCAATCTTGCAAGGATCAGTATAAGAATGTATATTATAGTAAAAATGTCATATAATATATATTTTAAAATGAAATTTACTTGCCTATTTGACAGTGTGTGTTCTCCTTTTATTCCTTTTTTGGCAGTAATCGTCACGCTTTCTAAGTTCAATATACAAGGGATTTTGATTTGCATTGTTAAAAATGGTCCAAAACTTATACATCTCGCTGAAGCGCATCTCAGTATTTTCAAAGAACGGCGTCTGTTCTACATGCCGGCGAATGTTTTTGGAGAATAAAGCAGTTTGCCAAGTGATTGCCAAGCCAATTGCGCATCTTATCAACTTGACAATCAGAAGCGGAGAAATTCCTTTGGAATGGAAGGAGGCAAAGGTTACACCTATTTTTAAATCGGGCAAAAGAAATGAAGAGAACAATTATAGAACTATCTCAGTTCTCCCTTTGATCTCCAAGATAATGGAACGTTCAACCCAAGTCCAGCTTGTGGCATTTCTTACAGAGAAAAACGTCTTATCCGTACATAATCAGGGTTCCGTAAGAATCATTCCACTGAAACTGCTGTTGTCCATGTTGTTGACCATATATTGCAACATATGGATAAGCAGCATGTGACAGGTGCAGTGTTTGTAGATCTCAAAAAGGCCTTTGATCTTGTCGATCATGAATGCCTTTTTTAGAAGTTAGAACACTATGGAATTAGAGGTCAGATCCTGAGCTGGTTTCGGAATTACCTCACAAGCGGACACAAAGAGTAAATTATGCAAATGAACTATCTCCTAGTCGAGTGTTGAATTATGGCGTTCCCCAGGGATCTGTGCTTGGACCGTTGTTATTTGTCTTACACATTAATGACTTGCCAAAATGTCTATTAAGCTGCTCAATCAGTATGTACGCCGATGACACAATAATTTATTTTTCGGGTTCTGATACCAATGAGATAATGGAAACCCTTCAAAATGATTTAGATCGTGTTGCACAATGGATGACTTCTAGTAGATTTGTTTTAAATTACAGCAAAACTAAGGTTATGCTTTTTGGAACAAAACAAAAACTTGGTCGTTTCAGAGACTTTACCATCCAACTACAAGGCAAACTAGTTGAAAGAGTGCCAAAGTTTAGTCCCCTTAGGCGTAATGCTAGATGAACAAATATCACGGAAAGAACATATGGAAGAGATCTGCAACAAAGTCAGCAAGCGATTAGGTCTACTTCCGCCAATACGGTCTTGCTTGACAATTGAGGCATTAAAATGTGTTTTACAATTCAGTGGTGCAACCCATTTTTGACCGACCTGCCTGCTGGGTGTTCTCAAAGCCTCCAAAAACTGCAAAACCGTGCAGCACGAATAATATTACAACGAGAAAGCTCCAGAAATACGTTTGACATCTTAAATTGGGTAGACCTATCTACTCGTAGACAAATTCACAAGTGTGTTTTAGTATTTAAATGTTTGAACAATTTAGTCCCAGAATACTTAAGTGGATATTTCGTAAGGAATTCAAACATTCATTCTTATAATACTAGAAGGCAAGATGATTTGCATTTACCTAAACCAAATCTTAGTCTGGGCAAGAGATCTTTTATATACTCGGGATCACTGCTTTATAACAATCTTCCAGATAGGCTGTTGGGGTATATCGATATACCGATAATTATCTTTTTTTATAAATACCGATTACTCGATATTGAAATTTTCGATATATCGGAATATCGATATTTTTCGGTATGTATGGTACTTTCCGTTTTTCGATAAATATTGGAATATCGATATTTTTCGGATACGTTTACGTTTGTATATTTAAACGTCATATCAAGCTTTTTCAAGCGATGATTGGAGTTATTTCAGAAGGACAAAGACGATCAATGTGCTTTTAATCCGTAAATTAAGGTTAGAGCGAGAGTTAAAACGTATTTGTTTACGTTGACGTTGCAAGGTGTATACAGCTATTTCACTGAAAAATTAAGGTTGTCCACGAGCAAAGCGGAAAGGTCGAATACGAGCGCGAAAGGCTGCTGGGAATTGCTAACAAATTAATGAATTTGCATATGCAAATTCATTAATTTGTTAGCGATTCCCAGCAGCCTTTCGCGCTCGTATTCGACATTTCCGCTTTGCTCGTGGACAACGTTAATTGAAATAGCTGTATGTCATATTTCGCTTGTCAAAAAGTGAACTTCTAGAACATAAACAACGGTGGATTACAAAATGTTTTAGAAACAACAAAAACTAACCTTATTGCACATTGTTTATCTGGTGAGATAGGACAATCTTTGTTTCAAATTCGCAGTTAAATGACATGCTTTGAAACAAATTTCTCGGTCAAAAATATCACACATGATTTATCCAGTGCGGTAATCAATGCTAATATGCATTTCTAAAGCGGACATTTCACAGGCTACTGATCACTGGCCTCACACTTTATTAAAAATATCACGCACCCAATGAGTCAAAGCTGTTATATTGTGGCGGTTTGGCATCATTTGAAAACAGAAAAAATTCAATTGAAAAAATTAAGCAAAATACAATCGTGAAAAAATATCGGTATTTTTCCAGGTATCAGTTTTTGTTTTTTTTCAAAATACTGCAACAGCCTACTTCCAGATGGAATTAAAAAGGCAGGGTCCTTGTCTAGTTTCAAGACCCTTATAGAAAGACACAGTTTTAAATAATTACTGCAGTAATACTCATTGTGTGTTTGATATATAACAGATTTTAGCATTAGTACAATTAGGTTATTATAATCATAACATTGTATTATATACTTACATACTATATATGTACTATATAATTATTATATCTTCTTATTGCTGTAAAGAAGGCTCTTCCCTATTGTGGAGGAAGAGGGAAGAGCCTGGGAACAAGGTTGGGCCCCTATATGGATACCAGCTTAGTGCTGAATGGGCTATCCTGCTAAAATAAAGTTATCTTATCTTATTATATAAAGTATAGTGTTTTATAGAGATTTCGAGCACTGATATCTCACATGTGAGATTATTCATGATAATCTCCACATGTGAAAATTATCGCTTTTCAATTATCGCTTTTCTGTAAAAATTATCGCTTTTCAAAGACTGTCCTTTATATAATAAACAGAAAAATACATGGGTGCTTGGAAATACCAGATTTATTTCTCGTGTTGAACATGATATCTCACTGCGCTCACTCGTGAGATATCATGTTCAACACTCGAAATAAATCTGGTATTTCCGCACACCCATGTATTATTCTCTATTTATCTTATAGTTTGAGGGGGAGAATAAAGCAGTTTGAGGGGGAGAATTTTTTATAATTAATGCTTGTGCCAACGGATCAACAATCGGGAATCGTTTGTCTATATCATGACTAGTAGCGGCCGCCCTGACTGGAAAGTTTGGAAATTGCACAACTGAGATTTCGAAAATTTATTAGTAAATATATAGAAAGCATCAACATTGCACGCTTGATATCTCAGTTGTGCAATACAAACTTTCCACACTGGGCGGCTGCAAACATCAGGTGCAAACTGCAAATTAGTCTTTGAAAATTTATATTAGCCCAACAAAAGAGGAATATAAAAAGGAGAACACACACTATCAAATAGACAAGTAAATTTCATTTTAAAATATATATTTTATGACATATTTGCACTATAATATACATTAGCATTAGTACACTGATCCTTGCAAGATTGCCGGATTGGGCCTCCTGTGATGTGATACTACAACTATTGACAATTGAAGTGGTTTTGTTACTTTTGTAGATGGAAATTTCAATTGGAAGATAATACAGGTATACAATTTTCAGACCTAACCAGATTAGGGCATATATATATTCGAAATTCCCATCTACAAAACCTCTCCAAGTAAAAAATACTTACATGTCTTCGTTTATCAAATGTATCATAGTAAAGTTGAATGAATTCTTCTCCCGATTGAGAAGCTTGCTCGGCCAAAAGCTTCCTGCTCTATTAAATAAGATGTACGAGATCATAAATTTTATACAGTCTTTTGCTTGTTACACATGTTTGCAAAATATATTATTAAAATCAAATGATTTTATATTTTTACCTCCTGTTTTGACGCCATATTGAATTTGGCAGTTTTACGGTCCTGGGGACGAGGTTGCAGTTTTTTGGTTTATGTGTTAATTTAAAATTGTGGCCAAGACCTGGAAAAATCCATATACAACTATAAATGCCATATACAGGTTGGTACACAGGTATATAATTATTTACAACGAAGTACATTCATATAAGACTATTAAAAGTGTATTTGCTGGACTTAAAATCATTAAAATCAATATGATAGATGGGTATAATATGGTCACTTATTGGTATTCCAAAACTATGACAAGGACAATGTTCTTATTTCTTTTGTACTGTGCGCTACTCACAACGTTCGTCTTTTCTGGTAAGGATGCTGCTGCAAACTCATGCACTACTGCTTGTAATAGTAAGGCCACAAAGGATTGTGGGTGCTCAAAGACCTCTCGTACCAATAGCCATACTAAGGAAACTTCCAAAGACCATGAAAAATTTAAATGGACTCAGCCACATCCCACAGAACAAGATCATGGTCTCCAATATGGATTGATGGTACTTTTACAAGGTGGTGAATTTGTGATGGGTACCAATAATCCCAAAATAGTATCTGATGGTGAAGGACCTGCAAGAAGAGTTAAGCTCAATGCTTTTTACATGGATCAATATGAAGTCTGTAATCATGATTTTGAGATGTTTGTTAATAAGACAGGTTATATCACTGAGGTGAGTATCCAGGCCATAGCGAAGAGGCTAAAGCAAGGGGAGTGTAGTATCGCAATACAATGTCCCGATAAAAACAATTTGACGATAAATCTGTTGTTTTGCCGACAAGACGTTTTCAGGGAGTGTCACCACACCCCCCCTCCTCTACAGCGATGGCCCTAGGGAGTATTACTTCTTTAACCTATTAAGTTTTATATTAAATGTTGCATCATAATGTGCTCTTCTTTCGTTGTCTTGATGGTGCTCAATGGATTAATGAGCATGGATTATTTTCAGAATAATGCCTTTTGGATCCCCTCCTCCCCATACACTGAGGCCTTTTTGTAGTCACATAAAAAAGTTGGGTTGTTCCAGATCTGAATCTCAAGAGTGGGGGTATTCTACTTCGGATACTAGAAATTCCACTATTTTTTATGTCAGGCTGAAGTGGTTCTTATATAATAGATACTTAGTGAAAAATCAAGCTGAGTTGGTTCATAATTGGTTCTCATTGTGGAAGGTGTGGATGTTTTCCATTGTGGCCACACAACTACATTTTTGAAAGCTACTGTTTTGTCCTTTAATTAATAAGATCTGATATCTACTATTATATATTATGGGTATTTCACACTAATATTTCTGAGACTGGGTGAAGCTGAAGGTTTTGTTGCATGGCAGTGGTGACACGTAACACTTTTAACTATAAAGTAGGGTGAGAACTATTAAGGGCCCTGGGCAGCTGACAGTTACTGCATGCCAGTTAATAGGGTGACAAGAATATCCAGTTGCCTTCATCCACAAAACGTAACAGTCACATATCAGTTCAAGACACTCAGCTGGAAACTGCAGCAGAAGTGGAAATAATATTCAACGATTCTTTAATTAGAAGAACTATAGTCTGGTATTAAGGGGCTTTGGTGGTGCAGTCGTCAGAGTAAGCACCTAGCTTTCACCTCGGAGCTAGATTGTGGGTTTGATTCTTGCTAGGAACTCAATGTGAAAATTAAGAGTCAATGCTCCGCCAAAAGTTGTGGGTTTTCTCAGGGTGCTCTGGGTTCCTCCCACAAGAAAAGTTGACAGGGTAGGTTAGGATACAAAGTTAGGAATTCAAAGCAATATCACAATTGTTGTAAAGATACATAGTCTAGGCTAAGTAGGTTAGTATACATGTAAATAAGTGAACAATTTATGTATGTATCTGAAAAGAAATTGTGGAACGAAAATAAGTTACGGATGTAATTCAATCAATATGCTTCATACATGTAGTTGCATTAAACTTTGTTCATCTGTCTCTCATGTGTGGATATGTGTGCAGCCATTCCGTTACAATGGCAGAACGTTATTTTTCTATTAAACTGAAGCTTATCCCAGGTTGACAATCTTGCCAAGATCCCAGCAAGATCTTGACAAGATCTTACCCAAGATCTTACCAAGATCATGCCAAGATCTTACATAAACCCTGCAAGATCATGGAAAGATCTTGCATGATCTTGCAAGATCTTTCCAAGTTCTTGCAGGATCTTACCTAAGATCTTGCAGGATCTTGCAAGATCTTGCCAAACATCTTGCAAGATCTTGCCATGATCATGACAAGATCTTGCCATGATAATGGCAAGATCTTGCAAGATCCTGCAAGATCTTAGGTAAGATCCTGCAAGAACTTGGAAAGATCTTGCAAGATCATGCAAGATCTTTCCATGATCTTGCAGGATTCATGTAAGATCTTGCCATGATCTTGGTACAAATCCTGCAAGATCTTGCCATGAGAATGGCAAGATCTTGCAAGATCTTGCCATGATAATGGCAAGATCTTGCAAGATCTTAGGTAAGATCCTGCAAGAACATGGAAAGATCTTGCAAGATCCTGCAAGATCTTAGGTAAGATCCTGCAAGAACTTGGAAAGATCTTGCAAGATCATGCAAGATCTTTCCACGATCTTGCAGGATTTATGTAAGATCTTGGCATGATCTTGGTACAAATCCTGCAAGATCTTGCCATGATAATGGCAAGATCTTGCAAGATCTTGCCATGATAATGGCAAGATCTTGCAAGATCTTAGGTAAGATCCTGCAAGAACGTGGAAAGATCTTGCAAGATCCTCAAGATCTTAGGTAAGATCCTGCAAGAACTTGGAAAGATCTTGCAAGATCATGCAAGATCTTTCCATGATCTTGCAGGATTTATGTAACATCTTGGCATGATCTTGGTACAAATCCTGCAAGATCTTGCCATGATTCTCCAAGATCTTACCAAAATCCAGCAAGATTTTGCCATGATCTTGCCAAAAATCCTGCGAGATCTTGCCATGATCCTCCAAGATCTTACCGAAATCCAGCAAGATCTTGCCATGATCCTCCAAGATCTTTTTGAGAGAAAATAAAGGGAATCTTGTCTGTTCTTAATAATGTTGTTCTAAAGAATCGAGTTTCAAGATGGAACTTTTATTCGGAGGTTGTTTCATACTTTACTTCGTGAATTATATTAGCATTGACACCATTGTTATTGCAAGTTCTTCGATTTTGTTTTTCTTCGCATATCGCGGCACTTTTGAATTTTGATTGCACGCATCCACGATAATTTGGCGTGTTTACTGTTCTCTGTACTTTTTCTTCGCCATACTTGGCATTGAGGACAGCTATATCGTAAAAAAAGACTGTGTTAAAGTAAGTCTATTTTTTGTACTTAAGTTCATTTCAATGTTTACCCGAAACACATTGCCATTGGCAAAGAAAACTATATACTTTTAATTAACACATACTGTGGCAACTTAGTCTTAAGTTTGTATATATCTGTTCACAGCTGGCCAGTTAATTTTTCTTGAAGTCAAATCACATATATTATTCTTACCAAACAATTTAGTGACCCTGTTGGGATCTAGTGCTGGTTTTGGAGATCTTTTCGACTGGAATAGTATTCCATCCTGGAGCTCTTCCGATGAAAATAGGAAGTCCAATAATTTGATTGCACATTTTGATGGCTCTTTTGGTGGTGCATTTACGGTCATCAAATTAATGTCATTGTGCCACTAAAATGAATTAACAATACTTGATATTAAATCACTGTAGTTGAATTCTTTTTAAGTGAAAACGATAAATTACACATGTATACACTCATACTTACAATTTCGATCTCTGTAGTTTCTTTTTTGGCCATACTGTAGCTTTATCATTTGGGGATGCCTTCACCATGTTTTCCTAAATAATATTTGAAATAACAAATTTTGAATAATACACATGTTGAATAATCATAGCTCAAACCATTAATTTTATATGAAAGATCTCTATATTTTATCCTAGCTTCACTGGTTGGCATAATGAAACTTAACTCACTAATGAAGCTCACATTTATACCGTAGTGTGAAATTGCGTGTTCCTATGCGCTGCATTTACGATGTTTGGCACCGGATCTGTCAAAACTACGGTTATCAGGACATTTCAGTAGCGCAAGCTGCGCAAAAGCTGAGTAATAAATATAAGACTGTGTGAATATAATAATTTGTGGTCCCAGGGGTATTCTCAACGGCTTTGTCATTCTTAACAAAACGTTAAACTAGGCATTATCACGTAAAAGCTTATTGCGACCAATGATGAGGTGTTATTAAAATTATTTAAAGTCGAAATTACAGCAAGCATTGCATCGCTTTACCCAATTAACTTAGCCTTTTGTAAGGTTATTTGAAAAAGCTTGAAACATTTATTACATGTGGTAATCAAACTGCTTAGCGCTCATTCATTCAATATACAAATAATGTGTTACAAAATAGGTTGTAAGCACTTACTTTTTATTTAAGACAGCTCGACAAGTTATCCTTTCTTCTTTAGTGCAGCAATAAAGTCGAGGAACAGAAGTATAAACTGCCGTGTACCTTGTATGTTTGACTTATAAAACGCGCCTTGGGGCTTTTACCAACGGTTGTCTACCACAAATATGCGAAAAATGCGCAGATAACAAGATTTACAGATATTGATTAATTGATCTCATTGAGAGCAACTGCGCGCGTAAAAGCCTCCTTTCACAAGGATCTTTCAAAATCATGGCATTTTTGGTATGATCATGGTAAAATCATGACAAGAGATTGTGTCAACTGTCAAGAACTTCCAAGATCAAGATAGATAAGATCTTGGCAAGATCATGCTGGGATCATGGTGAGATCTTGACAAGATCTTCCAAGACCATGGCAATATTATAATAGAATCTTGGCAAGATTGTGATAAGATCTTAGCAAGGATCATGCTGAGATCTTGGCAAGATCATGGTGAGATCTTGTCAAGATTTTCAAGACCATGGCAACATTATGGCAGGATCTTGGCAAGATTTTTGATAAGATCTTGGCAAGATCATGGTGGAATCTTGGCAAGATTGTCCAAGATCATGGCAAGATTATGATAGAATCTTGGCAAGATTGTGATAAGATCTTAGAAAGGATCATGGTAGGATCTTGGTAAGATCATGGTGGAGTCTTGCCAAGATCCTCCAAGATCATGGCAAGATTACAATAGGATCTTGACAAGATTTTGATATGATCTTGGTAAGATCATGGTGGAATCTTGCCAAGATTGTGCAAGATCATGGCAAGATTATGATAGAATCTTGGCAAGATTGTGATAAGATCTTAGCAAGGACCATGATGGGATCTTGGCAAGATCATCGTGGGATCTTGACAAGATCTTCCAAGATCATGGCAAGATCATGATAGGATATTGACAAGATCTTGGCAAGATCATGGTGGAATCTTGGCAAGGTTGTCCAAGATCATGGCAAGATTATGATAGAATCTTGGCAAGATTGTGATAAGATCTTAGCAAGAATCATGGTGGGATCATGGCAAGATCATGGTGGGATCTTGACAAGATCTTCCAAGATCATGGCAAGATTACAATAGGATCTTGGCAAGATTTTGATATGATCTTGGTAAGATCATGGTGGAATCTTGCCAAGATTGTGCAAGATCATGGCAAGATTATGATAGAATCTTGGCAAGATTGTGATAAGATCTTGGCAAGGACCATGGTGGGATCTTGGCAAGATCATGGTGGGATCTTGACAAGATCTTCCAAGATCATGGCAAGATCATGATAGAGTATTGGCAATGTTGTGATATATGCGATTGGTTTGATCAAGGTTCATTATACCTATACTTATGAAGGTCGAAAAATACAACTCAGCAAGAATTATGTATGACGAAAAATCATGAAAGATCTTGGCAAGATCTTGACAAGAATTTCAGACAATCTTGGCAAGATTTTGGCAAGTATGGCAAGATTGAATAATCTTGGCAAGATATTGGTTATATCTTGGCAAGATCTTGCCAAGATTAGTGTCTTGCCAAGACCTTGCCATGATCTTCCAAGATCATGCAAGATCTTACAAGATCTTGCCAAGATCTTCAACCTGGGTTTTGTAGGCATATTGTAGCTGTCATTCATTTTAATTTCAACCTCAGAAGAGAAATAAAAAGAAACGATTGAGACGATTCTGAAAGAGTGAAGATCAGCTATCCAAAATTCAAGAATGGTGAGGCAACAGTTCGGAATGTTAGAGTTGCACAGAACTTTGGTAAGTTTTCGTTTATCTGCATATAACAATTGTTGTGCTGAGTGGTTATATTACTACCTTAAAAATAAGCAGAAACTCTAAGTGGTAGTAATATAACCACTCAGCACAGCATTTTCACATTGGTACTACCTACACTGGTACAGACAGTTTTAGTATATAGCAATTGTGTCCCTTTAATTTATTTATTACATCACACCTCTTCTTTCAGCATATATACAAGAAATATACGAGACATTTGAATTGGCTAGCAAAGCCGACCTGAAAGATGCAGCTGTAAAGCTGAAAGAAATGTGCCCACCCCCAATGAATACAATGCTCAACAAGCAAACAAAGAGAGAAGCATTAAGAAAGAGATCTGACAGGAGTTAAGTTGTCATCCAAGATGTTCCACCCACTACTCCAGGTAATAATTATTTCCAAGTTTGATCTCTGAACACTTTTCAATCAATCTTATTCTCATTGGTCATTGTTTGGCATCTGCCTACTAAATCTTTTGACAAAGGAACTTTGCCAAAAACCTTGAGAACACATCCATCTTTGTTATTTTAATGTCAGATAATTTTATTTGTCAGGTCCTCAAGGGGAAAGTGTTGGGTGCTAATGGACTAATTAGTTTACTTTTTACTATTTCTTCTACTTTTACGGTATTGCAACATCAGGAACAACTGATGAGAGATAGAGGCTAGAAAAAATAAGGCTGCTCTCGTCATGGTATAATCATTTGCACGAGTGTCCAACAAGCTGATTATCATAGTTTAGGCTAAAACAACATTCCAGAAATGATCCATATCTCCATCAAGGCTAGTTTCCACTCAGGAAAATTATCTGTGGATTGAAATGGACAAGAAAACTTTTCTTTGCGTTTCAGTCATTAGCTCAGAAGACAAAGAAAAATTTTCTTGTCTGTTCCAATCCACAGATAATTTTCCTGTGTGGAAACTAGTCTTCACAGAGTTATTTTGTGCCGGTAGGAAAAAAGGGGTCAAAATCTACTTCTGACATTGGTAAAATGTACTAGCATGTCCAAAGTGAAGGTGTGGATGTTTACTGGAATGAAATATTTAACATAATTAGATAACCTGACACTATGCTCAACTGATTTTTCTGATTGTCAATTACTAGTCAGAGTCATCAGAATATCCAACAAAATGTTCCTCTTTATCAATAGCATAGAATAAAGATCCATATAGAAGGGCCACTTACGTCGGAGGCTTTGAAGTTTCTGTCCTCGCGCATGTTGCATTACATATGTTGGCCGCCATTTTCCTAGCCAGTCAATGACATTTTTTGGCCAATAAACACGCTGTACTGGCTGGCTGCTCCGCCTTCTGGCCAGTAAACTGCATATTTTTGCATAAAAAAATGCGGACATGTTGCACTGCTGAGTGGCCCTTCTGTTACTGATCTTTATTCTGTGTCAATAGGAAATGCTTTCCTTATTAGTGTGTAGGGACATGATGGAAGGGGGATCCTTCTGTTACCAAGGAATCCATATATAAGCCTTGTAAACTCCCCATATGAGATGCTGTGTAAGAATCTAGAAACAAATAGGAATCAACCCATGTTCATTAGGTCAACGAGACTACAATGTACACTCATTTGTTCCCAAGATCAACCGTTGAATCTTTCTAGATGAGCAACACAAGTATATGAATAAACCTGGATTCAAATCCTTCAATGGAACTCATATTTGTTGACCAGGTTATTGTAGGATTTTATGTTGTGGATGCACTGGTGACCCAAGCTAACCCTAACCAGGTTGAAAGACTAACCGGGGTCTAGACTAATAGGGGCTAAGACATACATATTTAGGTTATCTACAAAAAGTAAACTTGAATAGAGTTGCACTGCATGTATTGTAAGTATACCAAGTCTGGATACAGTTATAAGTTGAAACTAACAATGTTATAAATAACAACATAAGTTTAATTATCTAACCTTTCCTGTGCTGCTATTTGTTTATATTTGTCTTTATTTTTCGTTTTATATCTGTCTGAAGCTTGCTTCAAACTCCACTTTTGTAACCATACGGGACTGAATCCTGGATGTTGTGTAACACACTTTGCATTTTGTACACCTTTGACTTCTTTTATCACTTCCTTGCAGTTCATCGCTTCTTCACAGCCTTCAAGCTCACAGCAGCAGTAACATTTGTTGCCATTAGTTAGAAGTTCAATGCCACAGTTCCCACACTTACACATGTGAAAAAAGGCAAGGAAAAAACTATTAAAGTTGGATAGATTCACGTTTATAATACATGACTCGAAAACAAATCATTTTTAATCTTCATTTACTATAATTATGTTGATACTTCCCACTCGCTTAGTTCGACAAGAACCATCTAGCCTTTTACATAGCTTCTCTTCTATTTCTAACCGTTCTTTTTTAGCCTGTTGTTTTGCCAACCATTCTTCGTCGGCCAAAGGTTCATCGCTGTAAGCTAGGCCAACATTTAATTCCTCAAAGCTGAAATCGTCATCCAAATTTTTTACAAGTTCAGAGTTTTCTATTATATATCAAGGCTAAATGCCGACTATCTTGGATGACGTCAGAAAACAGGCTAGACCCAGGCTCTTTGTTTTACAAAATACAATGGCCCCGAACCATCAAAAGCTGAATTCAAAGAACAATTTGAAGCATTAGGGGCACTTTAATGTGAATTTTAGTAGGTCTTGTAGATGTAGTGCTTTGGTCGAATTAATGTGATATCAGTGGCAAGTCAATTCTATGTTTTACCGGCTAATGTGCCTCTTCTTTGATAAAACTCATCTCTCATTTCCTGATGCACGAACTTAACTATCAACCGATCCTTAACATTTCTTGTAGATGGTAGTCTGTGAGCTATTGATATGTGATGTTCAGAAATGTTTGATATACCCATCAATTCTCCCAACTCTATGGTTAACTGCTTTGGGTTGTCATCAGAGGTTACTGGAATGCTGGTAATTTCTATACAATCTCGCTGAAAATGTTGATGCATTTCGTCTAGTTTAACATTTTGCTCTTTTAAAACCTTCTCGAACTCATCAATTTTCTTTTCCTTTTGCTTTAACAATTGATCCAATTTCGAAACTTGCTTCTTCATACTTTGCAACGATTCCAGCACAGCTGGAATATTATCTCAAATTGGTTTTATTTTGTTGCGAATACGGTCAAGAATAGTAGGTTGGAGTTCTTCGCGCTATATATTGATCGATAGGAGTGCGTAGGCTTGGGTATACAAGGTTCTTAAAGCAAAATGGCGGCCTTCGCAACATCAGTCCACAAAATATCACCGATATGGTGGGAAAACCGAAACCCCCCCCCCCAAAATACTATTAAAAATTTAAAAACGAGCAAAAATTTTTTAAAAAACCGCCCGCCTCTGAAAATTTGTGAGAGTGTGACGCTAACCAAGTATTTTTTTTTATTTGGCCTTAATGAAATGACAACAACACGTCTGTACACCTCGTAAACAGGTCAAACAGAAGTAAAGTCACAATGAAACAACCGATTGTAATTATGACAAATGGATCAATCTGTTTAAAATCTGTTGTTGATGTCTATATTCCAATTAAACATGTCACAATTCGTTCCAAAGTTAAGCCCTGGATGAATGCCTTTATTTGTAGAACTATTCAAAGACATGATAGACTCTTATCTGTCTATTCAAATATAAAAATGATGGGCACGATACAGAATTCGATGAAATTTTGTTGTAAGTCTGATTCGACAAGCAAAATGTGATTGTTTTTCAGTAACCCTGCAATATCTCCTAAGAAGTGGTGGAAACTCTCCAAATCGCTGTCAAGTAATAAGTTTCACTCCCCTGTGCTAGATTTCGTTGTCAATGGAAACACCATTTCTAAACCAAAGGATAAAGCAGAGGCATTTAATTAACCAGTTCTTTGTCAGTCAGTCTTGTCATATTAATGATGATCATGTTGTTGCACCATTGCTTAGTGTGTCAGTGGACAATGCTGTTGACAATAGTTATTGATAAACTCGATATTTTAAATAATTTTGACGTTTCTAAGGCTTGTGGATTTGATAATATTAGTAATAAAGTGGCCACCATTTTTAAACATTTACTTACTCGTTTAATTTAATAATTACATGGTAACATTGGTTTCTTTTGTTTTAACAGGGGCATTTAATCATATATTTCTCTCATTACCCATGCATACGCTTTTGTATTCTAAATTTCCCCGGGAAATTTAGTTGAAAACAAAAGATTTCTTTGTCTTTTTCCACTGCATGCTTGATGAGTGAAATTTTAGAAGACAAAAGCGTACCTCAGGGGGAGTTTTATTACTGCTCTATCGATGAACAAACATATCATTTTCGGTTATCTTAACTGTAATCCCCGAGCCAACAGCACGGAGTGCCGTTCCGGGCGTTAACCCAGGGTACTAATTCCCTCGGGCTATTTACACCTGGGGAAAGGAACGCACTAGCAAAGTCTAAAGTTCATCAAATACTGTGGGCTATGATCCAAGGGTGGACCCTCCTCACTGATCTAAACAATATGGCTGTTTGCCAGATTTCAATTTTCAGAAGCATATATTTGGAAAATCACGTTTCACACAATGAGCTTTGAAGCAATTTTTGTTTGAAAAATGGGAATTGATTTACTATGGAAAATCGTAAATCAAAACTACACATGACAACAATGACTGGTGTATCAATAAGGAAGCTCGGCAAAAATCACACTAAGGAAAACTACATCCGTAATGAGGTACAAACTCAAAAAGATAAACTGGGCTGTTTGTGGAAAATTAACAATGTCATACCTACATTAGAAAGACCTACTCCGAACCTACATTAAAGATCATAAATTGGTAGCGGACGATTTCAACCAGTTCTTTTTGTCAGTAGGGAGAAAAACAGCTGAAGAAGCTACCCAGCTAGCTTTGGAAAATAATATTAACATTTCCACCACCAGCCCTTCCATCCACATGGCCTGAAAATTCCCTGACTAACTGTTCTATTTCCATCCTGTTACCTGCACAGGAGGACAAAACATTATATCTACGCCCCCCCCCCCCAACAAATCTCCTGGCCTGGAGGGTCATTAAAGGTTTGTTACCAGTTAGTTTAGGCCACCTAACTGATATAATCAATTGCTGCCTCAGCACATATACATATCCCAATGCATGGAAAAAAGCTGAAGTCATACCTCTGCTAAAAGATGGTGACCATGAACAAGCCTTCAAACACACTTCTTTTGCTTCTACCTGTTGCCTCTGAAGTCTGCGAAAAAGTTGTGCTCAGCCAATTCAACTCGTACTTAATGAGAAACATCTGTTATCCCACCAAAGTGATAACAAGAAGAAACACTTCTCCACAGAAACACTGATTATTTTTATGAATGATACTATTTTAAAAGCGATGGATAACAAGATGTTAACTGCACTTGTGCTTTTGGATTTGTCTAAAGTCATCCGTACCGATGGAAAAATTAATATACCATCGGTAAATAATGAATGTTCACCGGTACCGATGGTAAGCCAATTCACCATCGGTAAATAGAGATTGTCCATCAGTACCGATGGAGAAATGAATTCACCATCGGTAAATTTAAAACGTCCGTTGGTGAATGAGGTAGTTAGCAATATTGCTATGGCATAAGGTAGCCCTCCAAAACACTGTCCATCGGTACCGTCGGTACCGATGGTAAGCCAATTCTCCATCGGTAGATTATACATCGGTACCGATGGAGAAATGAATTCACCATCGGTAAATTTGTAAAGTCCGTTGGTGAATGAGGTAGTTAGCATTAGTGAGAGAGGCTAAGGTAGCCCTCCAAAACACTGTCCGACGGTACCGATGGTAAGCCAATTCACCATCGGTAAATAGAGATTGTTGATCAGTACCGATGGAGAAATGAATTCACAATTGGCAAATTTGAAAAGTCCGTTGGTGAATGAGGTAGTTAGCAATATTGCTATGGCATAAGGTAGCCCCCCAAAACACTGTCCGACGGTACTCAGGTACATTAATGCCTGGGTCTCAGTGTGTGTATTTAGCAAAAATAAACAAAAAATCATAAAAAAATAAGTATGGCCTTGATTATTACCATTCAAGTTTTATATGATTTATCAAAGGAGATTCTAAAAGTTGACCTACTTTTCGTTGTCATGACAACGATCATGTGATGTATATTTCGAAAAACAACACAAAAAATGATACTTTTTATTCAGAGGCTCTGCAGCAGTATATTTCATGACTGAGAGGACGCAGAATTGCAATAATCATTCACACATAATATCACTGTTTATTGAATAAATTCGGAAAGTTTACATTTAGGCTTCGTTTCATTATTTTATGTGGCTATATTACGATGATCGGCATCAAACGAATGTTAATCGCGTCATTAAATGTTATCTACAAATAAATGTACGGTTTCCAAATTAACAAAGGAAACTTTGTTCCCTTGTTAATGTTTTTAGCTAACAAAAATAGCAAAATTTCGTCAAATTACCCTGCTGCAAGTCGAACGCGTTTTTCGCGTGATGAATTTCACGCGCCATAATGAAACAGTCTGCCGCTTATTGTAAGGGATATTATATTTCCAATAACAACATTCATTGCGCATTCAAGCCGATATCTTGAAGCATAGTTAATGCTTGAAGGGAAGTATGCCATGGTGGAAAAGACCGAGTGAACTATATGTGCTATTAATTTGTAATTCACAAGCTATTTTCATTGAAAATAAGAAACAGTCAACAATTAATACTGAATAATCGCAAGATAGCGCACTATAAGAAGCTTTTATTTATCAGCAGTTCAAAGGTCAGCTGTCGCAAATGATACAATACTTATTGCTATACAAAGAGCCAATTATTACATCAAAACTGAATAGTATACCGACTTCTTTGCATTGTATATACCAAAATAATCCTGTCGCTCATATATACTATAGTTTGATTTGAAGCAAATGCCCGAATTCACTAAAATACTCACACAAGGGGCGAATATTCTAACAGACGCATTACTGACAGATCGCGCGTGCAACACTCGCGCAAGATATTATCCAAGCGTGGGCAGACCCAGGCATTAACATGCCTGAGGATTTGAACAACTTTGCTTGCCCGATGGGGAGGATTTTGATGTCGCAAGATCACCCCGGGTGTTGTGGACATTTGATCTTTCAGCAGCCCCTAGCTGGGCAATTTTGAATATTTTTTATTCACACACAAAAGCATGGGAATGAGTCCATGTCACTGCCTATATAGATCAGTGGTCCATGTCATCACAAGTTTGCAAAATGGCTTCTATGGAAGAAGAAAAGTATGTTTGCTATATTTAATAATCGAGGAATAATCTTTGGTTTTTTATGCATTGACTAACATTTTGCAAGGAAATCACTTTTTAGTTTACTATTCTATCTGACTGTGTCAGTATTGCACTTGAAGTATTAGCATAAATCATACATATTCTAATATAACATTTATATATGTAAATTATATGTCAAATATTTAAAATTCATGTTTATATTAAATATTTTTGGTATTTGCGTTATATGAGAATTGGTAATACTAAGAATGAAGGAATA